GCGGGCCGCGGGGCTCCGGGCGCGCTCCCCGCACTACTCCAGTGCCATGGTGCGCCGGAGGAGCCGCTCGGTTTAGAGCCGGGGCTGGTGGCGGAGGGATACTCCGGCCGGGAGCCGCCTCACCCCTCCTCAAACTTCCTGACATTTGAACTCATTGGTGCGCCTCGTATCCCTGCGCCGGGATGAGCCGGCGGCTCCACGTCAAATAGTGCCGTCGCCGCCCCCCCCTCCCCCGCGGGAGAGCTCCCTGCGCCCCCGGCCTGCGCCCCGCGCGGCGCCTGGCCCCGAGCACAGGCCCCGGCAACCTGGCGGCCCGGCCGCCCCGCTGGCCTCTCGCTGAAGTTTGGGTCCCCTTGGAAACCAGGTCTCTGCCCCACCCCCTTGAAAAATTGATCTGGGAGTTGGGGAATGAAGCCTTTCTTGTTTCCTTCTTGCCATCTTTATTACTAATATTTTGCAAAGCTCGAGAGCTCAGAGGAGTAGCCCCGAATGAGATCAGATTGCGCGGACGGCGGGGCGCGCAGCTGCTCCTCCAGGGGACGGCGCCGGCCGGGGACCCCGAGGGTCGGCCCAGGTAGGTAGCAGGGCAGCACTGGCGGGTCTCCCCGCCCCAGACCCCAACCTGCTCGGGCCGCGGGAAGCCCTGGCTGCAGGGAAGGCTGGCCACGGGGATCGAGGGACAGAGGCGGGCAGAAAGGGACCACTGGCTGCGAGTTTCGGACTCGCCAGAGGGGGCTGGGCCCGGGCTCAGACTCGGGGGGCGACGGGCCTGGTAGAATTGGGTGGAAGAGTGAGTGAGTTGAAGTAGGGCTTCGGGCCCTGGGATCGAGTTGGGGAACACTGGGAAGGCGAAGCAGGTCGGGCCGACGGGAGTTTGGAGGGTAGTTAAGGCCGGGAAAAGGGTCTCGGGCAGGGATGGGGACAGTGGGTGACAGTCTGGCATTCCCGGGTCTGGAAACTGAGGCTCGGGTAAAGAGTGATGGCCCCACGGCTTAGGGATAAAGGCTCGGGAAGATGTGCGTTCGGCTGCTCCACACAAATCGGGTTTGACCCTGAGTAGGCGCCCTGTGGAGGTGGCCGAGGGATCCGATGGGGATTCCGTAGGTTGCGCGGGCCAGTACAAGTGCCCTGGTCAGCTTGGACAAGTGGACCTGGACACTGCGGAGCAAAAGGCCAGCAGAACCGAGGTGGCGACTCCTGCGCTCCTGGTATCCGTGCAGGGCGTCAAGAGGCCACTGCGCCAGGGCACAGGGCGCTGTGCCCGGGCTGTGGCCCCTGGATCCCCAGCAGTGCTCTGGCTGTCCGGGCGCAGGAAGGCTGGTGCGGTCCGGGCGGCGCGAGCTGCCCGGGTGAGCCGCGGCGAGGCGGGCCGGCCCCTCCCGGAGCGGAGCAGCGGTGCGGAGCGGGGCGGGGGCGGAGGGCATGGGGGCGGGTCCCCTGACCCCGCCGGAGGCGAGAGGGCGGATCGGATTTGGAGCCTGCGGGAGGCTTGGTCAGAAGTGGCCCCCTATGCCGCGGGGCCCCGCGGAGGGGCCCAGCTTTGTGGAGGATTAGAGGCTCCCGCCCCACCCCAGTACCTGCGAGCGTGTCGGTGGGTATCTGTATGTGTCTGTGCGTGTTGGCGCTCCAGCCTGTGGGCTGTAGCGAACGTGTGCACCCGTGTCTTTGTGCACACAATATTTTTGATGTCCCTGAGACTTTCAGGGCTCCGAGTGTGTGAATCTGGGGATCTGCATCTGATTTCCCTGCATCCCTCTGCATGTGTGTGTGAATCTGCAGATCCTTCCGTGCCTGTGTCTTAGGTGTTTTAGTACATCTTTGTGTGCGTCCCTGTGTATCTATGTCACTCTACGCGGGTACCTGTATCTTCCGGTGCATTTCAGCCCCTGTATTGCGTCAGGAGATTTTTCTGTATATGTGTGTCTCCGTGTCACTTTTGTGTGTCTACGTCTGTCTGTGAGTTTTTGGATGATTTTGCGGCTCCCATTGTGCGTGCGCGCGCGCGCGCGTCTTTGTGTCTTTTTGTATTGCTCGGTGCCTTTGTGTGTCTGTATTGCCCAGGATGGGTAAGTGGATGTGGCGTTTCCTTCACCCGCCCTTCCTCCCTGTCTTTGCCTATCCAGGGAAACCTTGGGCCTTGAGCCTCGAGGTTGGGCCTAGGCCGCCTTCTCTGGGCATCTGGGCCAGGGCCCTCCGCTGCCAAAGAAACCAGGCTTGCAAGGACTCTCCACGCTGCGTCTGGAGGCGCTGAGCACCGCGCCCGGCGCCGGGCGGACCGGGCGCGTCCTGCCCTCTGCTGGCCACGGTGCATCCCTGCAGCCGCTGCTGGGCGCCGCCTGTAGGGGAGAGTCCTCGTTCCAGGCACAGACCCTTGCCTTCTCCATCAGGACATAAGGGAAATCCTCTCCTCTTCCAGGCCCTGGTGCAGCGTTCCATCCCGCTCCTCCTGTTTCCCACTCCCCACCGTCCCTGTGCTCGGCCTCTTCCTCTCCATACCTTTCCTTCCCCCTCCCCTGAATAGGGGCCCAGGTGGCCCAGCTCCCAAGGGCCCCCTGACCCTTGGGCTGGTGTCCAGGCCCGATTCCGGGTCGTTGATTCTGTCCAAGGGAGCGTTCCCGGGGGCCTGCAGGCTGTCTCGGCGCAGGAGGACGCGCTCGCAGCCCCCGCTCGATGCCACCGCCGCCGGTGTGTTCTGGGGTGCGTAGATTCTCGGTGTCTTTCCCGGCGCCCCTGTCCGAGTCACCGCCCACGCCACCAGGGTTTACTTGAGACAGCCGGCTGAAGCCCGGGCCCGCCGCTGGGTCGCTGTGCTCCCTCGGGGGACAGTGGAACCGGGCCGCCTTCTCTGGTCCGGGTGGGGATGCTCGGTCCACAACCACGATCGCCTCTGCAGGTCTCCCCCTTCATTCTCCCCGCCACACTCCCTACAGGCCCTGTTCCTTGCCCTTTGTCCCCGATGCCCGGGTCCCCCGTCCTCTCAGCTGAGTCAGAGTTCCGGAACCCGGATCCTTCGGATCCTTCGCACTCAGCCATGCAGAGGTCTCCTTCGGGCGCCACCAGAGCTCCTGGGGCCTCCTCACCGCAGCCCCCATGGAAGAATAAGCGACTGGACGGGAGAACAGGAGCCTAGGCTTCTTCAGGCCCCACCTGAGCCGCGAATGCTTGCGCAACTGCCGATTCCACCAGGCGCCTCTGGCCCCACGACGCCGCGGCTGCTGTGTCCCGGCTGCTGTGCCCGCGCCTCCCGACCCGGGATCCTCTCTGGCTCAGCTGCAGAAACAGGTCGGGATTATCTCCACGAAAGGAAACGTTAAATCGGCTTGCTGCTGCTTAAAAGAAGCAGAAAAAGAAAGAAAGCCCAGGCACAGGGTTCCAGGCTCCTCAGAATCCTGCGGCATCGCCGCTGAGCCCTGCCCTGTGCGCCCTTTGCTCTTCTTAGGGCCTTGCACCCCGTCTCCACCCGACCTGCCTCCTACCAGGTCCCTCCTCCCCCACGGAGCCCCGCCGTGCTGCCGGCCTGCTGATCCTCTCCAGAGAGTTTTGTGTCTGCCCAGAGCTGGAGCAGAGGGTACCCTCCCAATCTACAACTCTGGCTGGAGGTGCAGATCGGGGCAGTGTTGGGCACCATTGGGGTGCAGGGCAGAGCCTGGACTTTGGGCTCGAGCAAGAAGACCTTGACCAGGAGCTTCGAGCCTCAGCGGCTCTGCTCTGTAGGAGAGCAAGGGCCACGGAGCTGCCTGGGGACACTGGCCGTGGCCAGCCTCAGACCTGCCAGAGGAGACCACACTGGACCAGAGCCACCCCAAATCTCCGGCCAGGTTAGGGGCTGCTATTCCTGGGACTGAGCAGTCAGGCTGGGGTGCTGTGGACAGCCACAAAGACTCCAGAAGTACAGCAAGCTCTGACGCAGTGGAGTACTAGCAGCAACTGCACTCCCCTCCATAGATCCTGCCTGCGTTTGACCCAGGACGTGTGAGTCAAAGGGTCAGACAGGCATAAAGCGACAGGTCCCTTTCCCACTTCTGGGTGTGTCTGTGGTCTCCCTGTGCGGTGGGGAGCCCCAAGTGCCCAGGTGAAAACTCACAGTGAGGAGTAAGCGGTGGGAGACCCCAGCTGGGTGTCTTCTGACTTTGGTGGGAGCTGGTTCTCTTCCCTCTGGAGTTTTGCGGGCTGATGGGAGAGAGGTGGCAGAGAGACGGGGGTTTGCTGGTGAGGCAGCGTGGGCTCCCAGTGCACATGCTTGTGTGTGCCCGTGTTCAAGATGCGCAGGAGCAAGCGTCAGCCAAGTTCCTGAGTGCTCTCCACAGGGCCCTCTCTGCCCACAGACGTATGGCTTTTCAGGGCAAGGTCTGGGTCCTTAGTCACGGGGTCCGAAGGCATGCTTCCTCAGGTTCAAAGGCAGCTATCAGCCCCCAGGACCAGTCAGTGCTGGGAGAGGGACAGTGCCCGGCTGGGTAGTACAGGGCTGAGGTCTCCCACTGGCGAGGCAGTGCGTAGGAGTGATCAAGAGCAGGTCTCAGGGACTCCCCCAGATCTGGCTCAGCATGTGGCTTTGGGACCTGCCAAAAGCCCTGTATCTCTGGACCTTCATGTCCTTGTCCGTGGAATGGGTGCAATGCTGGCCTCTGTCCCATAGGGTGGGAAGAGGGTGAGAAGGAAGAGCTTGCCCTTGTGCCCGCCTGTGACAGGCCTCTAGAGCTATGTGGGGAATAACTAGATGAAGGGGGCCTTCCACGAGAGCTCACGGCTGCCTCTTTCTTCCAGCCAGGGCCTGAGGGAAACCGAGCTGTACTGAGCTCAGCTGAGAGCAGTGAAGCTCAGAGGCAGGCCCCTGGGGTCTGGACACAGAGACCCCCAGCAGTGCCCAAGGGCACCACAGGCTGCTCAGCCTTCTCCAGCTCCCTATGCTGGGCTGGGGGCCGGGAGTATTGGTTCACAGTCAGACCTTAGAAGGAAGCAGAATTAGGGAATTCGGCTTATTGCACGCAAACCATGATGTGGGACTCTCCAGGTGTCACTTACATTTATTTTTAAAAGGCAGTTTCCCCAAAAGCCTTTGGATTTCTTGCCAAGCCGAAGGGTTATTTCTAGCCCGTCTAGAACCAGGGGCTTCCCTGATGCGGACCTGAGCCAGAACAAAGAGAGGACTGAGCACTGTGCATGGTGCCATAAAAGCTCCATTAGGACTGTAAGAATATTGGGGGCTGGGGGTTTAGCTCAGCGGCACAACGCCCGTGAGTTCGATTCCTGGTACCGGAGAAAAAAAACCCCGAAATAAAAAAAAAGGACTGTAAGAATAACTCACAGAATCACATTTTATATGGATTGGGCACAAATTCACAAAGCTGGAGAGTTCGTTGATCACCCTAAGGGTCCATGGTTGGGGAAGGGCGGCTGGGTGTGAAAGGGGACCAGTGCCTGTCCCATTTGATCTTTATCTTAAATCTACTTCAAAATGCTGCGGCCTGCAGAGCTGGAGATTCACCCCTTCCTGTAATTATTTGGTGTCTAGTAAAGTTTTTATGAGTGTCTGTGCAAATAAATGCATCTGATGTGCATTTGTTTTGGTTAGAGCTGCTTGATGTAGGAGGTGTGTGCATCTTCTGTTGGCTTTCAAAAAAGAGATGACAGTGGAAATAAAAATAAAACCAAGACCTCTGGATCAGGCAGAGGGGTGGAGCTGGGATAGTTTCCCTGCCAACTACCAGCTTTCTGACGTCAGGGGCTCCTGCACCCTGGGGACACTGGCGGTCAGGTTTGCAGGATGGTTCTGAGGGCTGGGAGGCAGGGTTGGTGAAATCTAGATTCTAGGGCAGCTTTTCTGAGAACTGAAAGAGGCTTGCCTTCAGATTATTGTCCTCTGGGTATATTTGACCAAGTCAAATGAATAATAAATAAAGGTGAATTTTTTTGGGGGGTTCACATTATCATTTTAAGTGGCAAAGTGTGCCTCTTTCTCCCGAATGTGAGCTCAGCAGATCTGGCAGGCAGGCAGAGTAGAACAAAGATGCGCCAGCTGTCCAGTAAGGCAGAGGGGTCAGGCAGCATGGCCTTCTTCCCGGGTGGCTTGGGAAGCCCGTCAGCCCCTGCCACCTTAGGGCAAGGGGCCAGTCCAGAGTGTCAGGGGCTAAGAGCACCTCCGTGGCTCTCAAGTCTCCGATGGTGACCCAGGGTCAGGGTGCAGCCCGCAGGTACGTCCATTTGGGCCCACAGTTGCTCTCTCCTCTGGGTCTGACCGTCCTGATTTATTTGTCTTAAAGTTATTTTGGCATTATTATTGAAGCAGACTAGGCATATAGAAAAATGCATGAAGCATAAAATTAGAACCGGGATGTACCCATACTACCCACCCTCTGGATTTAAGAGAGACCCCGACTCCAGCTCAGTGCTTCCTTCCGGACACTGCCTGCCGCCTTCTCCACAGAAGCACTCACTGTCTTGATTTCTACCCCCCCAAGTGAGTTTTTCCTGTTTGAATTTTATACAAATTAAATCATATACTATATATACTCCCTCCCATACTTTACTCATGATATTTTGCACAAAGAGCTGAATTTTTCTCCTGAATCATCAGGGGACAGATGTTTGGACGCTCCTTCTGGGGTGCTGATGATCTGGAGTCAAATCCCCACCTCCATCCATCCATCCCACTCTCCCCCCAGGCAGGACACCCTCTTTCTTCGCATGTCCTTCCAGGGGGTGTTTGTGTTGGTTACTCCTCCTTTAAACCTGAGAGTTCCCCCAATCCTTAATCTGTCCCAAAAAAAGGAGTCACTGGAGAAGTGCATCCAGAATCTTCCCTCATCCCAGTCCAGCGTTTGTTACCTATTACCTTTGAGGTAGGGTCTGAGGCACAGTGCCTGCCTGGCAAGCACAAGGTCCTGAGTTCGACTCCTGGTACCAGAAAAAAAAAAGAAAGAAAAGTAAGGAAATGAAGTAGGATCTGTAACAAATGAGAAAATAAGCACCCCATAGAGGTGAAGTCACTTACTGCGGGGTCACACAGCATGCTAAGGGTCAGATCCTGGATTCGAACCCAGTTGGCCTAATTCCAAACCCAGGCTCTTGTCACCTCCCCGCACGGCTCCCCTGGGCATCCCGGCCCAGGCGTGAACAGTCCCCTCCTGTCCCCTTCCAGGGAGGAAGCTGGACTTTTTCCAAAGGAAACGCTGGGAAACACAAAACCCCAAACAGAAACAGGGCAGGCATGGTTCCCAGGCCCTGGCTGCCGAACCTAGGCTGAAGCAAGTCTGATCTGGTCTGGTCTGGTCTGGTCTGGTGCAGCTTCCCCAAGAGTAATAAGGGAGGGTGTCATGGTGCCATTCAGTAAGTGTGCCCCATCCCAGCTGCCATTCCTGAATACTCACCATGTGCCTGAGAGGCAGGGATGCCTATTCAGTCCTGCTTTGCAGATGAGGAAACTTAGGCTCAGAGAGGCCCCATGTCTGGCCTTAGACTGCAGGTTTCTGAGTGGCTGGGCTGGGTTTTCAATGGATCCAGGACTTCGCTGCTGTCAGTTCTTGTCCTTGACTCAGACCTCTGATCTGGGCCACCTCCACTTTGCTCTTGCTCTGGAGGTATGGCCAGTGCAGCCTCTTGGATGCCCTGAAATGCTGGGATCTGGTTGGTCTGGCTTGAGATTGAGTTGCAGGAGCCCCAGTTTGTTCAAGTGTGAAGTGGGAATGATTTTACTGCTTTCCATTACTACTGGGAGTTCGGCAAGGTCTGTGATCTTTTGAATCTGGAAGCATTGTCATTGGCCTTTTATAAGGGGCTGCTGTTCACTGGCTATACAAAGGTCCTGAGGTAGGAAAGAATTTGAGTCACTGGAAACTTGGGTGGCTGGGTTGTAAGTAAGGCTCAGATGTAGCTGCAGGTTTGAGCAGGAGCCTCGGCCTAGGTTAGGTCACGGTCAGGAATGTGGACTTGCTCCTTATGACACTGGGGAGCGGTGGAGAGTTTCAACAGGGCCGTGCCACCATCAGGTTTGTTTTTAGGAAGATCTCTCTGGCTGCGGTGAGGGGTGAGACCATAGGTGGGAGGCCAAGTGACGAGGCCCCTGGGTTTCAATATCCCTTTGTATGGAGTAAGGTTGGGCGGTCCGCAGAGCAGACTTATCCTCCAATTTCCCATAGAGGTTGTGTTTCCAGATTCAGGGTTTCATGTTACACAGAGTTATTCTTTCTGGAATGTGTCCCCCGAGCAACCCCGCTGGACCCTCCGTGGAAGGCGGGGCTCTTGCAAATGCAAGATGCACATGTATGCAAAAAAGCACAGCATCCCTGCCCCAGGCTTGGCGGTCGTGTCTTCCCTGGCAACCAAAGGCAGGGCGGTGCCCAGGAGCTGGGACAGGCTGCAAACAATAGTATCAGCAACAGGCATGTAACAGTCACAATCACTGACCTTACTGAGGACTTGCTATATGTGGTATGAAGGCCTTGACAGCAGTCCTGTCAAGGAATCCTACAATGAGCCTGTCAGGTAGCTGCCTTTGAGGTCCATTGTACAGACAGGGAGCCTGGGGCTCAGGGGGTGAAGGGCCTTGCCCAAAGTCACTGAGTGGCACAGCCACTAGCTTCACACTGCCACCTGTGGGTCCTGGGCAGCCTCTGAGGAGGGTGTGCTGGGCATGGTGCTGAGCTTGGCTGGATCCAGACATTCCTGCAACTGTTCCCAGGGAGCAGAAAAGGCAGAAAACTCCATCTCTGGGTCCTGGTTCCCGCCCCTCCGCCACCTTTGCTCCAGCATACGCACTGCCCGGCAGAGCTTCTTTCCCTGGAAGGGCTTGGCCTCCAAACCTAGCAAAAGCCTCCAAGTC